GGCAAGGCGTCTGGGTCCAAAAAAACCTGATCTCTCATCTACAGGCTGTGAAAAAGGTCACTTGGTAGGAACACATGGGAACAAAGATTCTGGGTCTGGCTGGTGGTGTTGTTTCAAATCTTTCTCAGTGATACTGCATGTCCACCGATGTTCTCCGTATCAATTTGGTTTTCTAGGTTTCGAGGCACCTCTTGCCCAGTGGGCCTCATCCTCCTCATCCCTGCTAGGATCCCTTTCTCCCTTGACAGTTTTTGCAACGTCATTGAGTTTGTGTTTTTCATAATAAACCAGACATACTTACAGTGTACAATTTCATCAGTGTTGACATATGCAGACATCCCATGAAACCTTCGTTACCATCCAGATCACGGACATTTTCTTCATCTCTGGAATCCTTCCCTCTCACCTCTGGATCCCCAAGCAACGACTGTCACTACAGATTAGTTTTGCCTTTTCTAGAATTTTATATGAATAGAATCATACAGTATGTTGTCTCTTTTTTTTTTTTTTTTTGCCTGGATTTGAGTTTCATCCATATTGTTGTATCAATAGTTCGTTCTTTTCTTATGGCTTAATAGCATTCTGTTGTATGGCTATGCTGTCCCTTGTTCGTCCATTTATCTGTTGATGAAAACTTGAAGAAATTTTAGCCTTCCTGATAGGTGTGTGGCCACTGAGGTTTTGTTACTGCCTTGTTCTTGGAAGTTCCTTTTTGGTTCTTTTTCAAATCTGCCATGCCATTAAACAACTTTCCTGGTCTCTGAAGTTACTTTTCAAGCTTATTACTGATTTAAAAATATATGCACAGTTGTGCAGACTGTTTTTTAAAAACCTGTCTCCTGGGGCGCCTGGGGGGCTCAGTGGGTTAAGTGTCTGGCTCTTGGTTTCACCTCAGGTCACGATCTCACAGTTTGTGAGTTCAAGCCCCATGTTGGGCTCTGCGCTGATGGCGTGGAGCCTACTTGGGATTCTTGCTCTCTCACTCTCTCTGCTCCTCCCTCTCTCTCTCTCAAAATAAAAAAAACTTAAAAAACCACCTTGTCTCCTAACTCCAATATATAGAGTGGGTCTGCGTTTGTTTCTGCCATTTCAGTAGGGTCTCTGTTCGGTCTGTGAGGCAGGTCTGGTTTCCTTTGTACCCGTGGCTTTTTTGTTTTGACTTGTTGGTCACTGCCCTAGTAAAAGTCTATGTGGGGGGTGAGGAAGAGCTCTAGGATGAGTCCTAGGGTAAAGTCTTCTCCTTCAGAGACTTTATGTTTGTAACAGATATATGAAAGTAGTATTAGTACAGGAGAAGCCTCACATCACATGTAAGGCTGCAGTTCCCCCGGCTGACCCAGGCTGTGTGGACCTGGGTACAAAGCTATTCAAGGTGGACCAGTGGCCACAGTTTTTTCAGGGGAACTTTGTTTTCCTTTTATTTGTGTCTTTTGCTTTGCTCAGTGACAAGGTAGCCTTGTCTACAGTCCCCAGCTGTGGAAGGGCAGTAAGGGCACACTTACCTTAACCTTTTAACCTAAGGGTGTAGCCTCTGTAGTCCTAACAATGGTGGACAGGTCCCCTAACAGAGTCCCCCACTTGTACAGGCCTTAGGTCTTAACCTTGGTTCCCCGGCAGAGAAGTTTTCAGTAATAGATGTGTCCCGTTGGCAAAATGGGCCCATTGGGTGCTCTAATTTTTTTCACTCCAATTGCTTTCATACAAAAGCTGGTCACTGAGTTCCCCAATACCTTTTTGGCTACTTAATGCTTTTAAGGTAATTTTCAAAAGCACGTTTTCTGCAGGCCTTTTCATTTTTTTCCAGCAGGAAGACTGATTCAGATAACCTAGTCCCCCATCCCAAGGAAACAGGGAGCAAATCTGCTTTTCCCTGTTTCTCAGGAGTCCTACAGAGGACTCAGAGCTCTAGGTATCAAGGAAACAGGATTTCTACAGATGATCTGACCAAGGAGAGGAGGTCTGGAGTCTACAGAATTCTTTCCAACAAATGCTCAAAATATATGGCAGCATTCAAGAAAACATCCTGTGGGGCACCCGGGTGGTTCAGTTGGTTATTAAGCGTCTGACTCTTGATTTCAGCTCAGGTCACGATCTCACAGTGAGTGAGTTTGAGCCCCACATCAGGCTTCCGCCCTTCCCCTGGTCGCAGGCGTGCGTTCTCTCTCCCTCTCTCTCAAAATAAACAAACTCAAAAAAAAAAAAAAAAAAAA